GGGAGGGGGTGGAGTGGGTGGTAAGGGAGGGGGTGGGGGCAGGGGGGAGAAATGACCCAAGCCTTGTTTGCACATATGAATAATAAAAAAAACAAAATTTGCTACTCTGGTTGATGTGTGGTCTAGAAACATGGATAATCTTAGCATGTACACTTGCTTATACTGATCTGCTGAACACAGCCAAGTGAGTCCTTACTATCTCCAGGTATTGGACTTACTGGGATCCACTAAATTTTACCAGGAAACATTTTTGTTTCCTCCAAAAAAAGTCACTGTCCAGAAAGTGGTCAGTTGCATAAAGCAACAGCCATGTGGTTACTCATAACGCTGGAATGCTGACTTGATCGTAACAATAAATGGAGCCAACAGAGCAGAAAGAAATGTTCAAAACAGATTAAAATCACAGGCTTTGAAATGTTCTCCATCCTGGGCATTTTCTAAAAACACACTTTAATCTCTGCTCACCAGACCAATGCCTTTTCCCCCCAAGTTAGTCATAAGTTAATGTGGAATGAACCACACCCTGAATTTTTTTCCATCTTTCTCCTCTTTTGAACGTGTGCTAACTATCCGTTTTATTTGTGGAAGCCAAAATCTCTATTCTATTGTTTTGGCCATGGAAACACTGGGCTGATTTTACTTCAGTCTCTGAGAAAGCTCTGCAGAGCCTGAAAGGTATCAATCAGGAACGGAAATACACTCCCTGGTGCAATAAACCAGGACAATTACTTGGTGTGGACGGTCATTGGTGAGCTCAGCCCAGTGGGAGAGGAAGCAGAGAGCAGAGAATGTCAAAAGTGGCAGTGTTTATTCTTCTGAAGGCTTCTAGGCCCAGCCAACTCCTACCATTATGTTTGTGATCTCAAGGGGATGCATGAGTAGAGGAAACAAAGAATATTTTGCAGACGTGTGGGTTTTCTTTGTTAGCACTTAGTGCTTGTGCTCATTGCTCTCTCTAACTAAATCTGTTCTGGTTATTGGGCTCTGACCATTAGGAGCCCATGCCCTTGGCTACGCACTCTGGGGACTGGGCTCCCAGTAAGGAGTGAGGGAAGTCCCGAAAATGGGAAAGGACACTCCAAATAAGAAGCTATCTTGTTTCTTCTGTTGCCTGTGTATACATGGAAAGGACCACATGAGGCCCTTCCTGCAGTCCTGCTTTTGATGGCTGTAGGGGGCCACACAAACATCAGCCTCTCCTAATGAAAATAAGCCTGAAGCAGTCAGTCTGCTTCATTCCTTTGCAATTACAGTCCTTGTGCTCAGCCCTCTGGGAAACAGCAGTTTCATTCATTTTGGCCTTTCCTGCAAGGCTGGGGGGAATTCATCAGACAAAGAAATCATTATAGATTCTAATCATGTACTCTTCCCCCAAAGGAGGCTTCTTGTTTTCACTCCCTTTCTCCAGAAAGCCTTGAGTGAATTTCCTATCAGTCAGCAGAGGGCCTGGGGGTGAGCAAGGGCCCTGGGGACCTGAGGGTTAGGACTGGGGTGACTGACCCAGCTGGGGAGGTGAGGGGATGCTATGTACAGACCCCGCTGAGAGTGATTTTCCTGACTTTGGCCCTGAGCATAGACTTGTGGGCTTATATGAGAGGGGAGGTTGTGAAGGGCTCAGATACCAATATTTTGGAAAACTGTCACTCAAAGTGGACTTTCTTCTGCAAATTCAAGTTTGACAAAACCTGAAGATATTTTCCCCTTACCGCACAGTAGATAAGTGGGTCCGGGGAGGTTCAGAAACCAGTGTGTGGGGCCTCCTGGAGGTGAGGTGAAGGCAGCCTTGCCTGAGGAACATCTTGCTGAGCTGCCAAGTTGTGCCCCACTCAGACATTTGGCAAATTTGGAGGATCCTAGAATTCTGAAGCCAAGAGTGGGGGATCTAGTGGAAGCCATGTAGATCCTGGGAAGAATCTAGGGTGATTCAGAGGCAGAAGCTCTTGGTCAGGTTTCTGGGAGGAGGCACAGAAGTTCTGTAGTCTTCTGTGCTTTAGAATTCTACAGAACACACTTCTAGAGGATGTATTTTCTCTCCCTCTGAAAAAGCAAAAACAATGTACTTGAGGCCTAATCCTACAAAACATTCAGTTTGCAGATGGAAATTCCTTGAAATATAACTAGAAAGTCAGTATCCTTCAGCAAACTTATAAACAAAATGGCCTTGTTTGTTTGTTTTCTCCTTGAGGCAGAGTCTCACTATGTAGTCTAGCCTGGTCTTGAACTCACAATCCTTCTGCCTCAGTCTCCTGAGCAGTGGGACTATAGGAGCGTCTTGCAACAAAATGGCTATCTGCTCACATTGGTTATATGTGCCCATGAGAGTTGGAAAATAACACTTAATATTGTATTGTCTGTAATATATCTGTCAGAGACAGCTGGGAATCCCAGAGCCAAGAAATAAAGAAAAAGGGGAAATTTGGAAGATTCTGGAATATTCTATTCCATCCACTTCTACCCTTCTGTTTAATGAAAAAGCAAGTGTTTCATGGGTTATTGAACTTGTGTGTTCCTAAGGCAGAGGGAATGCCTTTGAAAACTCAGCTCAAGTTTATAGTTCATACCCACCCTGGGAGGCTGAGATTTCAATCTCTAATCATAATAGATTCTAAGAGTTGGTTGTAAAAAGGAGCAAGGGGAGGGCCTGAATTGCTTCAAGGCATCTTTTAACTCAAGTCTCTCATTTCTATACCTCCTCTTAGATCTACGGAGGCCCTGATTTCCACTCTCCCAGATTAGCCCAATTGTGTGCCCAAAGATCATCTGTGAACCCCATGCAGGTTTCCAGCACTGGCCATGAGCTAGCAATCCGATTTAGGACAGACAACTCTGTCAATGGGAGAGGCTTCAGTGCCTCATGGCAAGCAGTCCCTGGAGGTGAGTGAAAAGGAAAATGTCCTTAAAGTACATAAGTTGAGCCCTTGTTAAATTTTATGAAATGATTGGAGAAAGGTATGAAGGCTACACCCTGATGACTCCCCAAATGGCTAATATTACTCTCCCTTAAAAACTGTGATAGAGTTTAACTTTCAAAGAGTCATCACATGCATGAAAACAAAGATATAAGAATGCAAGTGAGTACAGAATGATTGGCTGGACTCATTTGCTTGCCAACAGACTTATTCCTGTTCCCTGACCTCAAGTTGATAAATGGTAGGTGACTTCTGGCCACGGCATAGATCTTTGGGTTCTTGGCAAATGCCAAGTCTGTGAACATTGAATTTGCCAATACCAAGGAATGACTGTGTGTTGTGCAGTGACTTTCTGTCCCAGATTTTAGGGTATCTAAATAAATTGCCTTTTGTAGATTTTTTAAATGATAAATTATGGCACAAAATATTTTAATAGAGATTAACTTATATAACTGCCAATAATAGTGATATTTATGGAGTGCTTACTATATGCCAGGGACTATTTTATTTTGATAGCATTATCTCATATAATCCTTACAACTAGTTGATGAGGGAAGTCATTTTCATATCCTCATCTTACAAGTGAGGAAGCAGAAACTTAGTGAAGTCAGAGACTTGCCTAGAGTCCCACAGCTAAAAATGCCAACACAAAAATGTGACTCCAGGTCACCTTATTCCTCCACTTCCTCAGCTCCAAGGTAGCGTAGTCACTACATGTGATCTCAAAGTTAATTACATATGAATTTACATGTGCACATAGTATCTAGATAATACCTCAGTGTTCTCAATTACTAGAAAATAGTGCTGAATGTTTTAATTGTTGGTTTATAATATCATAAATCCAAGGAATGATAGGTCATAGAGATAGATTTCACACTAATTAATAGGTGTTTGATAATATCATAGAAATTAAAATCAACCTAAGTAGTTATTCTGAATTAACGTTAAGAATATTAAAATTGAAAAAAAAACACAGACATTAAGTTACTTGTAAAATAGTATGTTCCAGGATTATCAAACATTTGGAGATAATTATCATTAAAGTATGCAATATTTTAGAGAGCAACAAAGAGGCATTTTAAGTCTTTGTGAAAACATGACTTCATTTACACTTATTTTTCATTATTTAAAATAACTTTGGACATCAGTATTTAAAGTGTTGGAAGTATCTTCTTAGTATTATCTATGTGTCCTTATTTCTGTTGGGATAAATGAATTAACATGAGTATTCAGTGCTTCAGAGTTTTAGCACAGACCAATGACACAGTAAACCAAAGTAGCACATTGACATATACTACCAGGTAACGGGATAGTTTATGCATCAGCAATTCCTCTCATTGTTGAATTGGGTTTCCCATTTGCAGGTTGTGGTGGGATTTTCCAGGCTCCCAGTGGAGAGATTCATTCTCCAAATTACCCCAGTCATTATAGAAGTAACACCGAATGTTCTTGGGTTATTCAAGTTGAAAACCATCACCGTGTTCTCTTGAACTTCACTGACTTTGACCTTCAAACTACAGACTCTTGTATTATGGTAAGTGACACAAATTTCAAACATTGTCTCCAGTCAAAACTGGGGCAAAACATTGCAATATGGGTACATTTAGTGAATGTATTAGTTACAGGTATTTTCACTGTCAAATCACAGGAAAGCCAACTCCTAGCAACTTAAAATGTTTTACCTAAATTTTTCTTTTACCTAAAAGCAAACCTGGAGGTAGGTAGTATCAAGGTTTGTTTAGCAACTTAATTTCTGCTCTACATTATTAGCTTTCATTGTGTTTACTTAATTATGAAAAACTCACTGCAATAGTGTTTTCCTGAATATCCTGAGCTCACTTCTGGAGAAAGGAGGAAGGAATAGTGTTAGCTGTTTGTGTGTGTGTGTGTATGTGTTTAATCAAGGAAGCAAAATTTCTACAGAAGTCCCTATATGTTTCATTTACCAGAATTGTCTACAAGGGAGATCTGGAAGGTATAGTGGAATCGATTTATCAAAACAGTTTAGATCAATTATTATTAAGCTTCTGGTGTTCTCATAGTATTCTAATTTTATTGAGATCAGAATATATCAACTTGCAACTTGAACAAATTAATATTTTGATAGGACAGAATAGGTTGGGAGGTGGGAATAGAGAAGGGATGTGTCTATTAGTTGATTAGATGACAAAGTATTTTTGCTACTACCAAAAACTTCAATGCATTGTTACATGAAACTAGTGCCTTGTGATTAATGTAAGAGAGAATGAAGTTTTCTTTCTCTTTTTTTCAGTTTTCAACTATAAATTTGTGGTTACTGATTTATCTGACAAAAAGGCTTTCCATGTTTCATTTGTATTTATAGACATTTCATTCAAATGTAAACCAGGTTCTCTTGGTTAATGGATCTTTCTATTTTAGCTTCCTGACAATTTCTTATACAAACTCCAACTGGCCAGTTTCTTTTGAATTTAGAAAGAAAACTCAAAATTTTTTTCCATATTTTTCAAAGTTGTCCAAAGCTTCCTTAAACTTCAGGTGTAGAACATTCACTTTCCATAATGCTAACTTGAACCAACTCTCCTGAAAAAGACAGTTTACAACTCTGGATAACATTTGAAAACATCTTTCTAAATGTAGCAAGATGCTCACAAGGTAGTGTAAAACTTCTAAGTTAGTATCTGAGAGAGATGTGAACTCTCTATTTGGGACTGTTTTTTGCCCATAGGGCATTCACTAATACAGACAGGGTTAGCAGCACTTCCAGGAGGACCAAAGAATGAGTCCAGGGCTTGATTAGGGTGTAAAACCTGGTAAACTACACACATCCTAGGAAAAATGAAAGCAAAACAGCCTTCACTGGGACTCCATTCAGCTTCAAGCTCCCTGAATCTCAAGCTATGGAATAATGAAGGGTATGCTTTAAGGCTTTTGCGTTTAGGCATTGAGCACCTGCAAAAAACAGTTTAAAATCTTCAATCAGAGAGAAAACTATGCTACACCTCACTTCTACCAATACTTTTTCATACACAATAGCCAACAGACTATCAAAGATATCTGTGTGCAAGAGGAGACACTGTAACATCAATGAGATACAACATGAAAAACAAACAATGGAAACCCACCCATATGCCAGATGCTGAAGCTACCAGGCGCAGTTTGCTGAATAACAATGATTACTAAACCCGTAGAGATAAATGTCAATCTAAAAAAAAAAGCTTTCATCAAGGACTTGTGAAAAGTGACATGGAAAATATGAAAAGTAGCCAACTGGAAATTTTAGAATTCCAATAAACACAATAGTTAAAATTAAGACCACAGCAGAAAGAAAGATGTTTTAGGAGGTTAGACAGATTAGATTGAGATGAAGAGAGAAACAATGAACTAGAAGATAAGTTAGAAGCATCTGGCTGAAGAAAAGCAGAGATAAAAACAAAGATTAAAATACAGAAGAGAGGCTAAAATGCATTAGAGGGTGCTTAGAGAAAGTATAGCACACATTTCATTAAAGTCCTAGAAGAAAAAGAAAGGTAAATGGAGCAGAAGAAATATTTGAAGTAAGACTTCTAAAACTGAGGAAACCCTCATTTTATAAAAATTACCCAAACAACCAGGTATGTTTCTCTGAAAAAATTTAGTGATAAATAATAAATGTTAAAGCCAGCCAGGGGAGTGGGTGGGTAAGGAACGATTACCTTTCAGAAAGTGGCAGACTAAATGCTGATTTTTCAACAACAATAATTAGAAGCAAAAAAAATAAATAGGCAATGGAATGATATGTTCTACTTGAAGAAAGAAAATAGCAGCCAGGGCTCTAGACTTTCCTCAAATGCTTTCAAGAATAAAGCAGAAGTAAATACTGCAGCAAAAGAAGGGTCTTCAAGAGGTTTGAATGGCCAGAAGCATATTGTCTACTAGACAGGGGGCAGTAGGCATTTTCTCACTCCTTCCTCCCTCCTCGTGTGCATGGTGCAGAATAGGGGAGGTACAGGTTCTTCTTTTTTGGTAAAGTCCACAATCCATAGAATTCAACATACAGAGTGCATGAGCAAACCAAAGCCTAGGTCAAAGGCACTCCCAGTGCCTTTTTTCTGTCCTGTGATCATGAGTAAGATTTTCCATGTACATGGAGTACAAATACACAGTTTTCTACTGACCACTGCCAGATCTCAGCATGCAGCAGGGCTTGGAGTAACAAACCGCTGAAGGAGAAAACAGACAAGATAAATGAAACCTCAAATATGATCTGGTCAGAGGCATAGAGGTAGGAAAATAAACCCATAGACAGGTGCTGGGATGAGTTCAGTATGGCAGATAAAGCAAAATACCAAAATGTAATCTAAACAAATTGTCAGAGTCAGGGAGCCCTTTAGGAAGTGGTTGGAATAGCTCACCCAGTCATTGGGCAGAAGGGGCATTTAGATGCCAATGCTTCTAAGCACTTAGTCAAGACATTAATATAAAGAGTGAACTACATCACCAGTGAGAGTTACCTTGGTGCTGTGGCCCAGAAATCTTGTTCTATGGTTGGGTACCTCCAGGCTAACTTGGACTTAGACATTTCTATCTGTGTTTCCTGAGAGAAAGTTAGTCTTCTGTCTTTACTTTCACTCACTGGAATAGGAGGGCCTGTGTTAGATTTGTTGTTGGGATATTTGAGACAATGTGGGAAACTTGCTTTCTGATCAACTGAAAGTTTGCAATCTGTGCTAGCCATACTCATGTTGCTGATGATATGAGTGCTTTCAGAGAGGTTTGCTCCATGAGCAATAGAAGAAGACAGTGTGGAATAGTAGGAGAAACAATGGTCTTCGATGCCAAGAGTGAGAGTTTCTCATCCCTGATTCTGGGCCTCGAACTCCTCCGCAGAGGTAGAACTTATTTATGAATCTTTCCAATGGTATCCACCTAGCACTTAGTGTACCTAGGACTCAATATGCTGTCATAATCATGAGGAGACAGAAGAAATTATTAATTCATTTCAGCCTGGAAACCAAGAAAGCTTTTACACTGGAGATGACATTTAAGTGTCAGAGTCTTACTTACTAGTAAATATGTGGCAGTGAAACCGAGAGGGGAAGCTACAGGGGAAGGATGGGAAATAGCACACAGACTTCTGAGAAAAGGAAAGGCAAGTATCGCATGAGTTGTACAGCCAGGCACTGGGGAGCTTGTGAAGACCAAGGGCAGCAGAAGGCTTCCAAGTTGGAAGCCTTTTACGCCCTGCTGAAAATTTCAAAATTATCCTGTAGGTAGCATGAAACCAATGAAAATTTTCTATAAAACAGAAGAATAACGTACTCAGAACTGAACTACATTTTACAATGACAGTGGTAGATGTGTAAAGAATGGACTGGTTGAGAAAGAGAGAGGTGGGATAAAGTGTGAGAAACTATGGGAAAAATCTTACATTGGAGGTGATAAAGGCCTTACACTGGGCAGTGGCCTAGACAGTGGAGAGAAGAAGCTGTATTGGAGAACACTTGTGATGGTATAGTCATCAGGCATTACACGGTGGAGGCTGGGTGGGTGATACAGATGTGGAGTTAAGACCATTTGCTGAATAAAGGGGCAGACTATACTGAGCTTGACTGGAAAATTTTGAGTTTAAAGGTAGACACTATAGTCCTTGAAGTTTGAAGTATGAGTTTAGTGCTTAGGATGGGGTCGGAGTTGGACATGAATATTTTAGGATAACTTATATGTAATTGGGTGGTTGTTAAAGTCACGGGTGTAGACATGGTCATGTACAGGAAGATTTTATAAAGAGAAAAGGGTCAAGTAAACTCTTGGGGCGGGGCGGTGATACCACATTCAAAGGGCAAACAAGGGAAAGGAAACTGAGGAAGAGCCCCAGGGAGGTATGTGGAGAACTGGAGACAGTAGCACAGAAAAAGAGAGTGAAGCCGAATGTGAAGAGTGGGTGATTAAAGGTGTGACACCCAGCAGAGCTCACCTAGGATGAGGGTGGAAGCAAAGCTACTGCATTTAATGATCTTGTAAGCAGCAGATTTGATGTGGGTAGTGATGGGGACTCTGGGATTACAGTCGGTTAGGAGGTGTGGGGTTTTTTTAGCTTTTTCCTAGAATTATGGAAATGAATGACAAAGGGGGATAAAAGGCAGTATCTTATGGTAAAGGCAAAAATCATAATCTAATGGAGATGCTTAAGTTAATTGCCAGTGGGTGAGGTGCTGGTAGAAAAAGGGCAGCCAGATGTAAGAGATAGACAGAATAACTGTTCAGGTCATGTTATTGGGGCAGAGACCTGCAGATGAACTAGATTGGTCCTTTAACTTTCATATTTCAGAATCATATTTCAGAATAGAAATAGAAGATTTTTTCTGATTTATAAATTTATTTATGTTGACCATTGCATAAATTTTATGTAAGCTAAGTAATTTTTGCTTGTGCATTTTATAAACCACTTTTACAAGATAAAGAAATGAAAAAAAGAAGTGTACAGGTAAATTGGAGTAGATAGCTGCTGTGTGCTGTTGCCAGGTAGACTCAATTATAGGGACATGAGGTCTGGAACCAGGCAGAGCAATACCC